GAAACATCAGTGTGTTACTGCCCCTCATATGTCACCTACTGGGGACATGGCCCACATCCCAGGCATGTCCCCTGGCTGAGAATTGATCCAGTGATCTTTTGGTTCACAGGCCAGCACTCAATCCACTGAGCTATACCAGCTAGGGCTGTCCTTCATATTCTTTATGTGGTGAGTCACATTTATTGATTTGTGAATGTTATACCAGCTTTGCATTCCCAGAATGAATCCCAGTTGATCATGTTGTATGATATTTTTGATGCATTGCTATATTCAGTTTGTTATTATTTTTTTCAGGATTTTAGCATATATGTTCATCAGGGATATTAGCCTATAATTTTCTTTCTTTGTAGTGTCTTTATCTGGTTTCAGATTAAGATAATGTTGGCTTTATAAAATGGGCTTCGGAGTATTCCCATTTGTTGAGTTTTTTGAAATAGTTTGAGAAGGAGAGGCATTAGTTCTTCCTGGAATGTTCAGTAAAATTCATTTTTGAAGCCATCTGGTCCAGTGCTTTTGTTTTGGGGGAGTTCTTTTTATTTGCTTTAGTTTCACCAGGGTAATCTGTGTATTCAGATTCTCCGATTTTTCCTGATTTAGTTTTGGATGATTGTATGTTTCTTGGAACTTACTCTTTTCATCCAGGTTGTCCAGTGATGGCATATAGTTATTCATAATATTTTCTTAACAATCCTTTTTAGTTCTTTCATGTCAGTTGTTAGTTCTCCTCTTGTTTCTGATTTTATTTCTTCAGGTCCTCTTTTTTTCTGTTTTATTTTTCTATTTTAAAATAATTTTACTGTGGTTCAAGTATGATTGTCTGCCTTTACCCCGCAGCACTGTCCACCCCCATCCCAGCCATCCCCACCTCCCTCTAAGTCCCCTTGGTTTTGGCCATGTATCCTGTATACTTGTTTCTGAAAACCCTTCCCCTTTTCCCCCTATTATCCCCTCCAACCTTCCCTCTGGTTACTGTCAGATTGTTCTTAATTTCAATGTCTCTGGTTATAGTTTTTATGCTTATTTGTTTGGTTGATTTGGTTTCACTTAAAGGTGAGATCATATGATTTCACCGCCTAGCTTATTTCACTTAGCATAATGCTTTCCAGTTCCATCCATGCTGTCACAAACAGTAGGAGCTCCTCCTTTATTTCTGCTGCATAGTATTCCACTGTGTAAATGTACCATATTTTTTTGATCCATTCATTTACTGATGGCTGCTTAGGTTGCTTCCAGCACTTGGCAATTGTAAATTGAGCTGCTATGCACATTGGGGTGCATAGGTTCTTTTGTACTCGTGTTTCAGGGCTCTTAGGGTATAATCCCAGCAATGGAATTGCTGGGTCAAAAAACAGTTCCATATTTAGTTTTCTGAGGAAACCATAGTGGAATTTCCATAACCACTGTTTTCCATAGTGATTGTACCAGTCTGCATTCCCACCAACAGTGCACTAGGTTCCCTTTTCTCCACATCCTCTCTAACACTTGTTGTTTGTTGATTTGTTTATGATGGCCATTGTGACCAGTGTGAAGTGGTATCTCACTGTGGTTTTAATTTGCATCTCTCTGATGGTTAGTGATGCTGAGCATCTTTTCATATGTCTCTGGACCCTCTGTCTGTCCTCCTTGGAAAAGTGTCTGTTCAGGTGTTTTGCCCATTTTTTTAATTGGTTTTTTTGTCTTCCTGGAATGGAGTCATATGAGTTCTTTATACATTTTGGAGATCAAACCCTTGTCCAAGGTATTGTTGGCAAATATGTTTTTATTTTTCATATGGTTGGTTCTCTTTTCATTTTAATGGTGTTTTCTTTGGCCATGCAGAAGTTTTTATTTTGATGAGATCCCATTTGGTTATTCTTTCCTTTACATCCCTTTCTCTAGGGGACATATCAGTGAAAATCTTGCTGTGTGGAATATCTGAGATTTTCCTGCCTGTGTTTTCCTCTAGGACTTTTATGGTGTCATGACTTATACTTAAGTCTTCCATCCACCTTGAACTTATTTTTGTGTATGGTGTAAGTTGTTGATCAAGTTTCATTTTTTTTAATGTAGCTGTTCAGGTTTCCCAACACCATTTGTTGAAGAGGCTATTTTTACTCCACTTTATGCTTCTTCTGTCTTCATCAAATATTAATTGACCATAGAGACTTGGGTTTATTTCTGGGTTCTCTATTCTGTCTCATTGGTCTATGTGTCTGTTCTTTTGCCAGTACCAGGCTGTTTTGATTATCCTCTTCTTTTTTTCTTGATGAGTGTGGGTAACAGTTTGTCAATCTGACTTATCTTTTCAAAGACAACTCTTGGATTCATTGATTTTTTTTTTGTATTGCTTTTTTAGACTCTATTTCATGCTGTTTGGTGCTGCAAGGAAAGGCAATTTGTATACATATCATATAATTCATGTTACATGCATACTTCTTTGTAGGACTTCACTCACAATCTTGAAGATAAAATTATTAAGAATTTCAAGATTGCAGTAGCAGAACATTGAACCAAGTGCATTCCCTTTTGATCAGGAGGCTTTATGTGCCTGATTAAATTACAGGCCCATGAAGTCAGTAGTGCCACCCTATGTTATATTGCAGCCTGCTCTTCCTCCTCCTCCCTCAGCACCCCACATTCCTTGCCCCTATCTGGCCACCTTTCTTTATAATGTAGCCTGTCTTCCCTCCCTGTACTCTTGCTTTTCTATCTTGATCACCCTAATTCATATTCTGTCCTGCTCTTCATCCTTATCCCTGCTCTGTACTTCTGAACCCCTTGCCTTTCTTCACTTCTTACTACTTTTGTAAGACTTACTGTCTTCTAAATATTACAACTGTACGTATTAATTATTTGCTTTTGAAATTTAATTGGGCCTTGGCTGGGTAGCTCAGTTGGTTAGAGCATCATCCTGATATGCCAAGGTAAGTGTTCGATCCCTGGCCAGGGCTCATAAAAAAAAAAGTCAACCAATGAATACATAAATAAGTGGAACAACAAATTGATGTTTCTCTCTCTCTCTCTCCCTCTCTCTCTAATAAATAAAAAAATTAAGAAACTGTTTATTTCCCTGCTAGAATATAAACCCCCTAAGGGCAGGAAATCTTAGCCCAATTAAAGGAATGGAGTAAGCAGTTCAGAATTGATTAGGTGATATTTGTTGTGTAAGAATATGATGATATAGAGAGTAGACATTATAAGTTAATGTCAGATGGAAGGGTTTCTGAATAAGTAGTAATTGAGTAACTGATTGGCAATTATAGAAAATTAATTATTCTAAATCCTTACATTATAGCCTAATTAAAAATAAATTCCAATTGAATTCAAGAGATAAATGTAATTCTGAAAAAAATCTCCTGGAGGGTACTGACCTTCCTAGATATCAAAGTATATTACAACATGACAGAAATAAAAACAGATGGTGCTGGCAGATTGGTAGAATAGATGAGAGACCTGAAAGATAACCTGATTATTTATACCTCCATCCTTTGGTATATTATAAAAATAGCATTTCAGATTAATGAGCAAAGGAGCAGATTTCCAACAAGGGTATTATGACAACTAGCTAGTTAGTTTTAAAAGTGAATGCAATAGAGATGTATGTATGCACTTATGTGGAAAAACATAGTAGTTGTATTACTAGATGAAATGTCATCTTCAAAGCATATGTGTAGTATGATTTTAGTTATATAAAAACAAAGACTATTTGTTGGTATGTAATCTGTTTAACTGCTTACCACTTTTGTGGACCCTCCACTTCTAGTACTTTCTGGAAAAGAGAGCATTTATCTTAAACCTGTCAAGACTGGTCTTCTTGAGAGCTGCCTCACTGCACCTTTTAACCCTCTTGGTGGGGCTCAGCCAACTGCATTCCCGACCAGCATTGCAACTCTTGGATACCAGTATAAGGATGAGACATGGGCAGCCTTCCCCACCCTGAGAGAGGCCAATGTAATTTTTTCTGGAGGGCAATCTGAATATTAAGACTTCTAAAAGTTACCCAGTTGATTCCAACATGCAGCTAATGCTGAGAATCAACTAGAGTTGTTTTAATTGAATTTGGTAAGAATTTTACCACTTAGGGAATAATACAGAATCTAGGCCAAGAATGTTGCTCCCAAGGATAGAGCATAGGATTCATTTGATTCTTATACTTATTCAGGGATGGAGGTGTATCTTCAGGATTTCTAACCAGCACAGTTATTTAAGTGTACAGAGTGCCTTCCACAATTTTCTGTCTAGAGGACGGGTGGTGGGAACTTTAGCCACTTGTTCCTGCTTCCTTTGGCTGCCCAAGCAGGCACGTGGGCTCCTATGGCTTCCAAGATGGCCCTAAGGCAAAAAGACCCTCAGTGCTTGCTTGAGGAGTCCCAGTTGTTAGCTGAGCTAGAGTTTGCATGGTACTGTCTGAAACAGCTGGGGCTGACATTAGACGTGAGCTGAGGGGATGGCATGTGGGCACTCAAAAGGCTCTGCATTTATTAAGACTTGACATATCCTTATGTACCCCATCCTTAAAGTTAAGTACCTAATAAGTAAGAAAGGGTTTTCTTTTTTTTTTCTGTTATACTGTCAACAAAGCAGTAAGAATAAAATATTCTCCAAAGCAATGAGAGAAAAGTCCTATTTCTGTTTTATATTTTCAGTCTGGTAGAGTAGCTCCTAGGAATATTAAAAGTCCATCAAATCCTTAGGCAGTACTTGGCTTCTGTTCAGGAATGGCTGACTGAGGTTGGAGAGGCTCATGCAGCATTTGAAGCAAGCCAGTTGTAGCCTGGAGGCATGAGCATGTGGTGAGGAGTGAAGGACAAGGGTGGCCATCTTTCCATGGGTATATGTTGCAACCTTTCTGTTGCAGTTTTGTAGAATGTGTCCATTTGACTACCTTTTCTTGTGTGTAGTCTTGAATGACATGTGTCAAGGATACCCCCAAAAGGATCCCCGTCAGGTCCAACATTTCCAACTTTCTTGGGGACTTGGATCTCACTTCTGAAAGAGCACTGTCACCCTTCAGTATATAGCCATGCCTCAGATGTGAGAGGGACAAAGTGCCACTGGGAACCAGAGAAGAGGAGCTCAGGAGCAGGTATTGGCTGATTTACTTTAAAAAATACGGGGGTGGTTCATAGCAGCATCATTTACAATAGCCAAAGTCTGGAAACAGCCCAATTGCCCATCAGTAGATGAATAGATAAAAAAAGCTGTGGAATATTTACACAGTGGAATACTAGATGGCCATAAAAAGAAGGAACTTTTACCTTTTGTTACAGCATGGATCGACTTTGAGATTATTATGCTAACTGAAATAATCCAGTCAGAGAAAGATAAATATCATATATGTAAAGATCTCACTTGTATGTGGAATCTAATTAGCAAAATAAACTGGTGAACAAAATAGAAACAGAAACATGGATATATAAAATAGACTGACAGCTGTCAGAGGGGAGGGGGAGGGATCCCTAAATGAAAGAGGGGGAAAGGATGAGCCAAAGAACATACATGTATAAATCCTAGATATAGACAACAGTTTGGTGAGGGCCAGAGGAAAGGGGGACTGGGCCTGGGAAGAGGTAGGCAAAGGAGGTGAAAATGGGGAAATCTGTAATAGTGTTAATAATAAAGATAAAGAAAAAGAATAAAAATGTTTCTAAAAAAATAACAGAGATGGGCAAAAGTATGTTTATAGTTATTAATATATGAAACAGTTTATTCTTATATTATTTACTCATTAATTATTATATTATTATTATTTACCTGCCCTGTATATTATTAACCAACCTCTGTATAATTTTGCCAGTGTGTCTGTAGCTTCCTGAAGCAGAAAGAGGTCATATAGTTACGAATGTAGCTTTTAAGAAGTGTATTGTGGTTGAATACTGTGTTACCTAATATTAAAGGACAATGACCAGATTCATAAAGTATCTTTTTTTGAACTTAAGTATTGATCCAAAGTATACAAATATATAAAAATAGTAGTTGAGTTTGGTTTTTGAGTGTGAAGTAAAAATAATCTAAAAAATTAAAGTAACTTATGAAATCTAAATAATTTTATTTATTAGTGGCTTATAATTAAGTCACCCAAACAGAAATATAGTCTGCTCTTTTAAAAGTTAGACAGATGCTCATTCATAACTTCTAATCTGCCTTCTCTCTTTGGATAGTAGCACTGGTGATCTTTTCAAACTGTTCCTTTTTAAGTGCAATATTGAGAAATATTTTAGAAATGTGTAACTCTAAATGTAAACCTTGGTTTTGAAAAATGAAATTGTCATACATGAATAAGGATTACAATAATAGCAGAATTTCACTGTTAATCAAAATAAATTTGAGAACTAATAGTTTCTTTGTTTCACATCCATGCATGTGACTCTGACTCTTAAGCTACCATGAGAGGGGAGAAACACAAGTCAGTTCTCTCTTTAAATGATTTGTTCAAGGTTATATCACATAGCCTTAAGAACTGAGTTGCAACAGAAGACAGCCTGCTTCAGGTTGCACTGCTTCAGATTTCTCCTGACTGAACTTAAGTACCATGACTTGTATTATGGTCTGTTTAAACAAATAGAGCCTCATGATTTGACACCTCCAGGAGTCAGCTGTTCCAGAAATATATTCGTGTTCTTGCCATTTCACCTTGGAAGCATACATTTGACCTTGGAAGTTCACTCTGTAGTTGCACTGAGGTTTACAGGTCTGTGTGTTCTTTTTGATGAGAAGGCCTGCTTGCAAAGCTGCTCTTCAGAGCTTTCCCATTCTGTTATATTTCTCCAGGCCAAGGATCTCGGAATCCCCCTGGCCAGTCTCCAGAACCTGTGTACCTTATACTTAGAAGCATTGTCTACATTTAATAGGCTGAAATATAAATTTGAGTAAGAGGTTAGATTAATAAGGGAAGTTTCAGTTTTATACATATGCAAATAATCTTACAGTGTTAAAGGAACTTCCTTCTTTTTCTTATATATATTTTATTGATCATGTCATTACAGTTGTCCCATTTCCCCCCTTCATTCCCCTCCACCCTGCACAACCCCTCCCACCCACATTCCCACACTTTAGTTCATGTCCATGTGTCACAAGTTCTTTAGCTTCTACACTTGCCCTCCCCCTGTCTATTTTCTCCCCACAGTCTATGCTACTTATTATCTGTATCTCCTCTCCCCTTCTCCTTCTCCCACTCCCCTGTTGCTAACCCTTTGTGTGATTTCCATTTCTGTGGCTCCACTCCTGATCTAGCTGTACACTTAGTTTGCTTTTGTTTTAGGTGTGGTTGTTAGTAACTGAGTTTGCTGTCCTTTCACTTTTCATCTTTTTCTTAATCTTCTTTTTCTTAGATAAGTCCCTTTAATGTCTTGTATAATAAGGCCTTTAACTTTACCTTATCTGAGAAGCATTTTATCTGTCCTTACATTCTAAATGAGAGCTTTGCTGGATAGAGCAATCTTGGATATAGGTCCTTGCCTTTCATGACTTGGAATACTTCTTTGCAGCCCCTTCTTACTTGTAAGGTTTCTTTTGAGAAATCAGCTGACAGTCTGATGGGCACTCCTTTGTAGGTGACTGTCCCCTTATCCCTTGCTGCTTCTAGGATTCTCTCCTTCATTTTAAACTTGGCTAATGTAATTATGATGTGCCTTGGTGTGTTCCTTCTTGGGTCCACCTTCTTTGGGACTATCTGAGCTTCATGGACTTCCTGGAAGTCTACTTCCTTTGCCAAATTGGGGAAGTTCTTCTTTATTATTTGTTCAAATAAGTTTTCCACTTGTTGCTCTTTCTTTTCCCCTTCTCATACATGATTCGGATGTTGGAACATTTAAAGATGTCCTGGAGGTTACTAAGCCTCTCCTCATTTTTTTTAAATTCTTGTTTCTTCATCCTTTTCTGTTTGGTCATTTTCCTCTTCCTTCTGGTCCACTCCTTTGATTTGAGTCCCAGTTTCCTTTCCATTACTCTTGGTTTCCTGTGCATTTCCATTCATTTCAATTAGTGTAGCCTTCATTTTTTAAATCTAATTTGTGACCCAAATCAACCAGTTCTGTGAGTGTCCTGGTCATCAGTGTTTTGAACTGTGCATCTGATAGGTTGGCTGTCTCTTGGTCACTTTAAAGTATTGCTCTGGGGCTTTGATTTATTCTTCCATTTGAGCCATAATTTTTTTTGTCTTGATGCACCTGTTATGTAGTGAGGGGTGAAGCCTTAGGTGTTCACCAGGGTGGGGCAATCCATGTGGCTGGGTTGTGATGCTGTATGTGGGGGCAGGGTCAAAGAGGGAACAATGGTGCTTGCTCCACTCATATTTCAGTCCCTTCCACCACTTTCCACAAGCAAATTCTGCCTTTCTGGTGCTGGTTCCTGGGTGGGTAGGTTTTTGTATGTTCTAGGACCCTGTGGGTCTCTCCAACAAACTCTCTGGTGAGCCTGGGAGTCTCTCCCAGCACTTCACCCCCCACAACCTTTTTCAGTCTGTGCTTTTAGGCTTTGTGTTCCATTGCTGGGGCCCTGGGTTGCATGGTCTGTCTCGCTGCCCATTTTTGCCTGGTTTATCTGCATGCGAATGTGTGACCACGGTCAGTAAGTGGCCTTGAGTGCCTCACTGGGTCTGCTCGTTTCCTTCCCACGCCTAGGGTCTGCCACCACTTTTTTCTGCTGCTGATCCCTCTCTGCCGGCCACAGACTTCACCCCTCTTACCAGGCTGGATGAATGGTTGTTGGACTTCGGTACAGTTCAGTTTTCTGTCTGTTCTGGTTCTGTTTTTGTTTCTAAATCTTTGTTTTCCTTAATTTTGGTTGTGCAAGGAGGCTCAGCGTTTCCACTTATGGCTCCTTCTTGGCTGGAAGTCACCAAAAGAACCTCCTTCTTGAGCATTAATCAATATTAACAGTAAGATCACATTATTATTTAAAAAAACCATGACTTAGAAAATAAATATTTATGGATCATGTTTCTGTGTTTTCTTCTAATCTGTAATTTAAAACATGAAGCCATTTCAGGGAGTGTGTTGGGTTATTAGAATATTTGGCTGTGTTTTGATATTCCATTTAAATTTAATTTCAGTAACAACAAATCAAGAATCTTGAATTTTAGGGTCAACGATATAGTCTAAGAAATGCAAATCCATTGGTAATCTTCCTAGTCAATATTTTGTTTTTCAAACAAGGTTATGGACTCTTAAATTAATCTACATATTTTTAAAATAGGTTCAATTGCCACTGGGTTTATGTAAATGATTATAGTAGACTAATGAGTTAATCAGCAGTTAATCATTCTAACTGCTGATATACTAGTTCAAATAGCTTTATCTGCCTGAGTTAGTCTTTTTTCCCCTTTGTTGAGTCTAATAATTTCTGTTTATAGCAAATGTTACCTAGTTTTAATTATGTCAATTTTTCTGAAGTATGCAGTTATAGAACTTTGTATTAGAGAAAACTTCCAACTCACATGAAGAGGATAGTACAACAAACCACCATGTATTTATTGTCCTGTATCAGTGACTATTATGCACCACAGAAAATTCACATTTACCAGGTGTCCCAGTGTGTGACATAGTCGTGGGCACCACTGATTAGGAGTCCAGCTAGAGAGAGTGTGGGCAGAGCACGCATCAGAGGGAATGTGTGGGGATGGCAGAAAATAGTTCATTGAATGGCTATATTCTTTCCCTATTTAATGGGCAGTTGGCTTGTTTTCATTTTTTTCCCTAACACAAATAGGCAGCATGGAAGTAAACATGTGTGGATGTAAGTCTTTGCCTACTTGTATGAGTATTTCTGTAGTATAATGGAGGAAACATTTAAATATGATGGGAGGTTGGATATTTTCATTCCTGACTATGACTATATTGCTATAAACTGATAAGTTTTAGCATATTTCCTTCTTCTTAGAAGATTCTCAATGGAAATATCTTTATTGGGATTATTTTAAGAAATGCTATCTGCCATAGCAGACAATCAGTAATTTCTGTGGCTTAACATGATAACAGTTAATCTCACCAAAGTGTAACATGGGTTGGTGGGAGTCTACTCCATTTGCTGTCTCAGGGGTGTAGGTTCCCTTCAGCGTGTAACACTGGTGTTCTGCCTGGGCCCAGC